GGAAACTTTTTCTAACCTAATTATCCCATATTAATTCCAGATATTCTTCCGTTGCAATGTTAGGGTAACCACAGAATTGATTATACGACGTCCATCATAATATACAACTGTTTTAGCTATAATAATCACATCAGTGTTAACCCATTCGAGGAAAACAAAGGTGAACCACTTCGAATACTATGAGACTGAAATAAAATCTAAAATGTGTGAAATATATGTTACGGGGTAAACTCAGAACATTGACTTCTTTCCCATATTCAAACTGTTCTCTGTGCAATCTACTCTTGATTTTCTAGTGAAAAATGTGTACCATTAGCGTCTGTAGACGTCCATTCTTTCGTTCGCTTTTGTTGTTACCAGTGTATGCTCAAACCGATTGATACATTCGTTATGACCGTTGTTGGTCGGACCAAGTTCAACACGCGATGCCATAACGTCATTCACAAACCATAACTTTTTCAATTGAAGATGTCCGAGTATCAATTTAAGATTTCATGTTGCTATGTGGATGATATGATAGTACGATTACTCCATCGCTTCATATTGTCATGTACTTTTTGTAATTATCTTGTTGTCATGTTCAGTCCACCTGTGTTGTGAGGGCACGTCTGCTGTACAGCCGAATTTCACTGGGTCTGCTCAAGATTCGCGGTTGTAGACAAGGTGTGGTTTCTTGCTCGGGTTAGGTGGGCAAATGCCAGGTTTCTTGTTGCGGTGATCTTATTCGACCGATCGATAAGTGAACCCGATCGGTCATGTGATTTTCGGGCCGGTATAGCAAAAGGATAAGTTCTGAATCGGATTGGTAGAGAATCACCACAGGAGAATCAGTTGTGGAACGATTCACCATGTGGGAGATTCGGAAAAAAAGTTCAAGCGATAATGACCCTGGGCCAACGATTGACTCGCACTATTTTTTTAAGCGAGTTCTCGCACGAATTTTCCGGCATGTGTGAGACGGCAGTTTACTTGGAAGAAATTCACTCTTGTTCAGCCAAAGGCCATAGTCGCCAGCCTACAGGAATCACGGCAACTCTCAAGCAATTAACTAAACTAAGAGTACATCTCAGACACCGTTCTTAGACCCGGGTTACGATAACCTCTGGCAAATGACCTGTGTAATCTCATCGGTGCTGTAGAACAAGTGTGAGTATCGTTAATTCATTCACACGACGGTGGTTACCGATAACGATCGTTCGGATCTGACATCTCACTTTACTCAACCGCTCACCAGTCAACCGCGATTATCGTTCAGCCGTTACGTTAGTGTGACAGAGCCCATCGACAGACCGAATAACCGTGGCTTTGATGACCACGGTAGCAAAAATTACCACATTTGAGTGCACCATAGAATTGCAAAAAACTTTACAGATTATAAAGATTACTTTTAACAGAATCAGAAATCGTCGTCTCACTCAGCTTGGCTCTCCTTTGGAAATCAACAAACGCGCTGCTTAAGTCTATTGTACACTCCAATAATCTACCGAACTCCGAACATTAGCCAAAGCAAACAGCTTCCATGGATCCAATAACTTCTGTGCCTCTCTGATTGAGATAACTTGCGGGACATTCACTGTCTCACATTTATCTTCTTCTTTACGATGTTTAGCTTGACTCGAAATGAATTCATCTAATGACTAAAAAAGAGATTTGATACAAAAATTTTGAATAACCCACTTCTTCGTCATAAAATTCCAAACAGGCGATTTCTTCTTCAAAAAGACGGTCATCAACAGACACATAATGAGTAAAGTCCTCGACCAAACCGCATTTATCTCCTAGTGGCTGCATCACCGGTTGAATCAATGTGGATCTGTAACCAGCTTTCATGAAAGACATTGAAAGACCAAATACACCCTGATCCACCGGCTGTAACATTAGAGAACAGTTCGGAGGCAGCTGTACCAATTTGAAGTTGGAGAATACTGAGGCTTGGTTATGGCAAGGGGCGTTGCCCATAAATAGTAAAATGGAGCGCCTTTGAGAAACCATTTTGTGGTAGACATCAAACAACCAACTGTGAAATAACCTAGAAGTCATCCATGCGTTCTTTGAAGAATTATGGTTGTATGGAAGGCTTTTCTATCTATACCTCGGAGGCATCGTGNTGTGATTTTCTCTTTGGATTTCTTCGATCCAGAAACCATCTTTCCTTTCAGACTTAATGTTCTTTCTGGGAGCTGACTGTAATACAAAGCTGTTTCATCTACATTGAAAATATCACAGTTAGCATATCCATGTATCACCTGTGGTAACCCCGCTCGAAACTCGTCCACTGCATCACGTAGTACCGCTAAACTTTCCCCACCTATAAAGTAATGCACATGAGTTGCTTCTTTCTTGCTTTGTACGATTGAATATCATATCTGTCTGACCAAGAGCGAAACCAACTTTTGGAAGCTTTGAAGTCATTGTGATACAATCTTTGTGCTAGCTGGATTGCCTTCTTACGTACGGTGCTCTCCACCATTGGAACTCTCCGTGCTTTTCCCTCATAGCAGCAAATCAAGCCAAAGTTACCTCATTCCCTGCTTTGAACTTTCCGTTAGTTTTCAGGTGGCATTTTCCCTCAGATGTTCTAGTGTTCAAACATTCCCCGATAGTCGTTCTATGGGATACAACATTGTAGATAGTTTTTCATGAATTTCCAAGTGATTTGGCTACGGAATTCTGAGTTGCACCTGGCTGTTTCGGTATTTCCAACACACTCGGCTTCTCTCTGATCGATAGACGCTTGCACATTTTGACGTCAAGTGACAGACTCCGATAACTTGTATCGGTGTGACGTGCTTGCAAGGATTATCCAATCATTGAACAGTGTCATGAACGCGTCGCACCAGGTGCAACGCCATTGGTTGAGAGCGACATTTCAGGGTGGATGGTCAATGGTCGTCCCGAACATCGGTCAAGTAAGTACGTATCAGGACATCGCATAATCAGAAATTACGTTATTAAGCATACGATTGGTTTGGGTTTTCGAAAAAGTGGTAAGATATTGGAAATACGACTTCTCAAGGGTGCGATATATATATATATACAGGTATTGACCAAACTCGTGCAACATACTGATTTTCGTCATATT